GATCAGCTTCTTCCACAAAAAAAGATGTTAGTATCAGTTTTTTGGAATGTAAACGAAATTTGGTTTGAGGATTGTCTCCAAACTGGTAAAACAGTAAACGCAGATTATTGTTGTAATCTTTTGGACAAGTTGGATATTAAAATTGGTAAGAAAAGGCCTAATTTACAAAATAAAAAAAGCGTTTTTCATCAACATAATGCACCCAATCACACATCTCAAAAAACAATCGCGGAACCAGTAAATTAAACTATGGACTGTCGCGACATCCACTCTATTCGCCAGACTTAGCTCCCTCTTATTTCTGGTTGTTCTCACATCTCAAAAAATTCATGCGATATTCAGCCGTATTTCGACATTATTCCGGATTCTGACTTCAAGGACGGAATCCATAAATTAGAAGATCACTGGAACAAGTGTATTGAAGTTCTGAGATTATACTGAATAATAAAATGCCTTTCCAACCATAAAATTGTGTTTCTCTTATGGAATGACAAAACATATTAAACAAGTTACGGTAATGGTGATCGCCTTCGGGGATCTAGGTATTTATTATTAATATTTGGTAAAAAAAATCGCACCTTCATTCATTCATATGTTGCAGTTTCAATGTAACATACAAACACTACGTGGGCATTGGCTCATTTAAATGTATAAAATGCAAACATTCATTTGATAATTACGTTCCAGTACCAGATGGACTTTTAAACACAGAAACAAGTGTAAAATTGGTAATTAGAGTTTCAGTCCATAACAACACATGCACCTATGTACATACATGTACATAAGCATACTTTGATGAGATTAATAATTTTGATTGCCTTCTCAGTGAAACATTGTATATTATGTACGTCCCGCGTCAAGTTCTTATTTTTTCTTTTTCGTTTCTTTTCAACGTGTCGGGTTCTTCAGACGACCAACAACGGCAGCTGTTATTACGGTAACAAGAGATAACTACTTGGCCTTGTTTCAAAGAGGAAAAAATGTACATAAACAAACTCACAAACATGAAACGACCAAACATTTAATGCAAACTTATCTGAATGAATTTTCTGTTAAAAAACTAGTTCAATGGTAATGTAATAAAAAAAACAATCGCAATGAAATAAAAAAAGAGCAAGGCAACTTGTGCTGTAGACAGGCTCTTAATGAAAGAATTATATTAAGAGGAAAGATACAACGTAGTGTTTTCTATAAAAATATCCGCAGTTTCAACTTGCAAATGTATCGATGTTGTTATTAGTACAAAAAACTATGGACTCAGTTTCGTCTATCTTTAGAATATTGTCAGTCTCTAATAAGAACTTTTGGAATTCCGAAAAGGGACTTCCTACGAATTTTTACGGCACATTCCTTTGCGGATTACTAGGTTTTACCAGCTTGCTTCACACGCGCGAATGTCATAAATATTTGGCAAAAATCATCGACGACCAGATAAAACTAATTTTTCTATTTCTCGAGAATAGTAGTAGCCCTATGCCCTTTTCTGTACATCCGACAATATGGGTACAAAATTTTATGATAGGTTTTATCAGCGCTTTTACTCGCGTTGATGTCCTAAATACCTGACAAAGATCATCGACGACCACATAAAACTATTTTTTTATCCCTTGGGAATAGTACTATTTTTCTGGATAAACGGTACCCTATGCCCTTTTCTGTACATCTGACAATATGTGTACAAAATTTTATGATAGGTTTTATCAGCGGTTTTGCTCGCGTTGATGTCCTAAATACCTGACAAAGATCATCGACGACCACATAAAACTAATTTTATATCCCTCGGGAATAGTATTATTTTTCTGGATAAACGGTACCCTATGTCCTTTTCTGTACCGCTGACAATATGTGTACAACATTTGATTACGATCGGTTAAACAGTTAAGACGTGATATAGTAGCAAACAAACAAACCCTCATTTACATGAATAACGTAGTAATATTAGTTAGAATGATGATATTTATTAAGATTTTTGGCGACTCGATCCAGAAGGGTAATAATGCATTATTCGTTTTTGACATGAGAGACAGGAAATCTTCACACTGAAAGTAGGCAATGAAGAAATTTCCCCTTTTGTTTTGTTTGATTGGGTACTCTATATATTTTGGTGTCGACTAGGGATAATGTATACAATTGTTCTGAAAGTTGGAATATATTGTCGTTCCCTAGCTGATGTATTGTCGACTCTTCGAGCAAGATTCGTGGTTTAAGACCAACCACAAAAATTTCCTTGTAACGAGACGCCACCGCGTTTGTCAGTTTATACCGTGAGACCATGCGGGCTAGGTTGGTTGGTTGGTTGGTATCAATATTATTGTAGCTCACCCACCTTACCACACCCTAGTCTGCATTTTCGAACGATCTAGTTTTACCCCAGTTGGCTGACAATACGTATTTAATAATAAATCACATAAATCTCCAAGTTCAAATAGAAATACCTTTCTGAATTTTTAAAAAATCTAGGTATTTAATAAAATTGTAATAGTTTTTAATAATTTACGCTTAATGCTACTAAGTTAATGGTACTCCTATTTTAACTGATGCGTCGTGAGTTATAATAATGACAAGGCTATTTACAAGTTTTCAAAAAATGTTTGATATCAAACAGATAGCATAGGCTTATGTATCTACGTACCTTATGGACTTATTTAAAAGTATTTTTCCTGTTAAACTGTATCTACTTTAGATAATTAAAACATCCGTGGATTCTACATGTTGGTTTATTATCCACAATAATTGAATATTGAATCGAAACAATTTTCGAAATAAATGATGTCAAAATTTACCCCTTTACTTTTAGCGTTAATTAATTAACAAAAATTAAAGTTTCTTACTACATTAAGGAGCTTCGGGAGTCACACAGGCTGTGAAAAATATTAGTTTTTGTGCTTACACAATTTCACCTGATATAAAATAAAACTGAAAAATTCAAAATCCAATCAAAAACGACCAATTTTAACCATTTTTGGGTATACCCAATGTACTTCCGAAAAATTTGGACTTCGGTAGACTGAACACGAATTTGGCCCTCATGTAATTTGTAGTACCCTCAAATGTAATTATTATTAAAAGTACTCTTTCTTTTCTTATATTTTCGTAAGTAAAAGAAGCGGATGACCAGAACAACACTCGTGTACCTTTTCTACGGTAACTTTATGATTCTAATATAACCGAAGCTTAGCCAAAGATTACGGTAGAAAAAGGAAACACGAACGTAGTGAGTGTTGGCAAGTTATTGTGGTCATATTTTTCGAGACCTTCGCCTGTATAGGTAGTGAAAAGTGTTTCTGTTTGATTGTTTTGGAAAAACACTTTCATTTTGCGACTTTGGTGCGGGTACTTGTTTACTTAATCTCGTTTGAGAGTACCTAGGTTACTAACCGTCAAAAATCGAACACTCTTGAAAACGCTAAACATTTTTAATTTTTTACCTGATTTTTTAATATTTAGCTTTTACAAAACACATAAACAAAATATGACTTGTTATCTTTTGCTTCTTTCTTCATCCATTACGTGTGGTTTCAACAATTCAAATTTAATTTATTTCGAGTAACTAAATAAAGCAGGATTTTATTTAAAAATTACCACAGTATGCAACTCCAAAACCCCGTTAAAATACGCCTTTTGATAAAACTTTCCCTTAAATTTCACAATTTCTAATTATTATTTAAAAGTAAACTCATTTTACAAATTCATTGCAGATAACAAGTACCTAAATAGTTTTAAGTGTGTGTATAAGTATGTGTGGTATATTTATGAAGTCACTACCCCTGTTTTTCGTAATTCATATTTAATATATGTCCATTAAATTAATTTTACGTTTAATTTTATTCTAATAATAACTTTGCAATGCAAATCGAATGATGTAGGTATGCAAAAGGAAAATTAAAACGACAATATTAGGAATAATCTACAATTATACCAATTAAACAATTGGTAATCATTTAGAATTGCAACTTGCTCTAAAAAAAATCCATCCCATGGAGACCATTTAAATACATAAGAATAGTAAATTTATAACGGGGAAAGACGTTTTAAAAATAAAAATTAAATTAAGGTGTATG